CAAACACAAACAACAACACCAACAAACCAACAAAACAAACACGAAAACAAAAACGAATCAGGAGACACATTAAAACTGGCCCTTCCTCAGCTAGTCGACACCGCCCCAACCAGTAGTGATCGATCGACACAAGAAAGATCCGGAGCCTAAGTCCTGCTACTGAAACTGCACGAACGCCTAGCAGTAGGTGAACCCAAATCCCAGAAGAATCCCCGAATCGATCCACCGTTAATCGAAAGGAAACCACAGCCAAGCCAACCCTCACACACGATCCCCCTGAGCACATCTAACACCACTAGTTGCACTCAAATGGACCGGACCCCCGCCGCCTAACACCACTAGTCGAACGGAGGATGGTGATGATGTCGTGGCCCCTCAACCCTGACGCCGGCGAGACCACCTCCCGCCCAACGCCAGAGTCCCACCCCCCTTGCTGACCCATATCCAGCCAACCTCACCGCAATCCACCTGCACTAAGCCGAGAAGCACCAAAAGGAGCCCCACCAGAAAACGCACCGCCCGAGGGGAGCCCCAAAAATCACGACCAAACGCAGCAGGAGAGAAAACTTACCTCCAATCGAGACCAACTAACAATCAACGCCACCAATTGCAGCCCGATAGCCGACCGAGAGGCTCGCCCCATCTCACCGCGAAATCGCCGTTGACCTAAGGCACGACATCCCTTCTAGCATCGGAGCACTACGGCAACATCAGGGTTCAGCTGAGGGGGCCGGCGGTCAAAGGCGACCACCAGCCGAAGCCGCGCCGCCACCAAGGAAGGCTTCGCTGGGTTGAGAAGCTCGGCTTTGTCGCAAAGGTTTTTATCGCCAGAGAAGAGAGAGATATTAGTAAAAAATGATATATTCAGGTATGAAAATGATATTTTGACGAAAACGATATTTAAACTTTAAATTACACTCTTTCATTATTGATATATATTAATTATTTATCAGTAAAGTATTTAATTGTTTTTTCTCATTTGACAAATTTCATGAAAAAAATAATTTTTAATTATTAGTAATAAAATTAATACGTTTCTACAATATTTTTTCATATACTTTTCATTCATTTTTTGAATTTTTTCTTCTTGGTTGAATGTAGAAAATTCTATTTCGCGAGACATAGTTAAATAATGTTATTATAGTTATTAGAAGAGTCAATTGCAATCAACTCATTTTAAGACGAGTTTCAATTTCTCGTTATCTAGTTTTATTAGATATATCAAAACTAATCATTTTTTACTTTTTTCAATCAAAAATTATTAATTTTTAATTGAATATTATATACTCCAACGAATTTAAGATATATATTGAAGTAAAGAAAAAGTTTAGGAGTTTTAACGTTTATTTTTTGTGTTAATGAATAAAATATTTCCTCCATCCTTTTCATTTGCTATTTTTAAAAGAAAAATTTAGCTACAATTATATTTTAAATTTCACAACATTTATTATTGCAAGTAATATTATTTTTTATTTTTTTTGGATTTTTTCTTTAAAAAAACATATGGAACATTTGGCACATTTCGCCCAGGGCCTTATGAAGTTCAGGACAGGCTCTGTATATGTTAATTCAAAAGATATAAAATTAATATCCTCTTGCATAATCTAACAGCAGTACTTTGTAATTTACTGTTTATCCTTGAAATAAAATAAGGTTACATAGGTAATCTCAAATTTAATGACAATTATAGGTGTAAACTACTTGAGCCAAACCGAACTCAAGTTTCATTAACAAAACAACATAAAGTAAAATATTTATAGAGAAAATGTAAAATTATTATTCTGGAGTTTTAACAAACTTAATCGAGTAGAGTTCTCGAGTGACTTATTTCATTTAACAATGAGAAGTTGAGAACAACTGTTGGAAAAATCTGTTATAAAACTTGTGTTTGACCTAGTTTTGACTTAATTTTTTATGGCTAAATATTTATTTGGGTTGAATTAACGGTGTAGAAAAATTCTACGTTCAAAGTAGATACTCGTGGTATATTTGTTTTTTCAAAACTATTTTTCGGTAAATGAAAAATAAATGATTAAATTTTGCCATAAGTTGGCACGTAAAACGATGGTTGTTGGATTAGAAGGGTCAAGTGTCATTCCCATATTGGACTCTTAAATGAGATTAACTCTCTTTATTATAATAAAAAGAGTTGGAGATTTCACAACAACAACAAAGCTATGCACCAAGTATTGTTGTTGGCTTTAGCCACACGCGGGCACCCGTCAGTCGGCCGGCCGGCTCGGGCATGGGCACGAGCTCGGGCCTGGGCCTGGGGCCTTGGTACTTGGCAGTTGGACTGTGGGCTAGACTTGGGCAACCTTGGACGGTCTGGGCATGGGCTTGGGCCTTAGGCCTAACCACATATATCTTTTTGCTGAATTTACTTGCAATAGTGGCCCAAAGTGAATCCAAGTTGAATTTGGACTCAGGTTTTGACCTAACCAAGTGATACCTTTCCTGGTTCATTAACACCTGATCGTTTCTGCCCACTAGCAACAGCCTTAAGGGTGTTGGTGGCTGTTATGTTTCCCTCAAGAGCTGAAAGTCCTATAAATAGGACATAGTAGAACATCAGAAAATACACCTCTGAAATCTGATCATTCTGCATTCTAAAGCCTCGTGCATCAGTTCTCGACTTCATATTTGTTCGTCTGAGCTTTGAAGTTGGTGTGCTACATCTTTAGAGCAGCTAGCCATTGTATCTTTGGAGACAAGACGCACCAACCCGTTACCATTACACGTGGCGTATTTGTCTTGCGGAAAAAATTATATCGCCTCGGTTCCATTGTTTTGCATTCGAGTTATATTTTGTGTTTTCTGCTTTATAGTTCCAATTGTAAGAACTGAAAACATCATCTTCCATTCATAGGTTCCTTTGTATTTCGATACCACAATTGTTACAGCTTCATTAATTTCTCCAGCTTGAAATTGAAGTTGAGATTTGTAGGTAAAATGTGTTATACGTGGTCCTAACTTTTGAGTTGTATCATTTTCCTTATAATCTCGATAAATGTACTATATATAGCATCATAACGTTATTGTGAAATGGCATAATTTGGGCTGATTTATATTTTTTAAGATATAAGATTGAGAGTAAAAATATACAAAATTATATGTTATAATAGCAAATGTGAGCTACCAGTCCGGAACGCACTATTGTTGGTGATCATTTCGAAAAACTTGGATTGATTGAACTGTTGAAGAAAGTCGGTCTTGAAAATTCCGTGTTGAATGTGGGAAAATATTGCCCCAAATTGATTGCTGAGTTCTACTCTAATTTGTCTCCATCTATGTCTGATCCAAAGTCCTTGAAGTTTCATAAAGAGTTTGTTAGGAATAGCATTGTTATATTCTCTCCATCTGTGATCAATTTCGTTCTAGGACTGCCTGAAAATTCATCCTTGTTCATGCCGGCTCTGACTGATAACTTAGATGAAGTAGCGGCTACCTTAACGGGGGGAAAATTAAGCAAGTGGTTGAACCCCGGTCTATTTGTCAAGAGCCTCACTCCTCAAGCCAATGCTCTTCAAAAAATTGGCTCTTTGAACTGGACTCCCACTTCTCTCAAACAGTTTGTGACGCCTATACAGGCAAGGGTGATTTATATTATACTATGTGGTTCTCCGTTCGACTTAGGCTTCATTATCTTTGAAAATATGGTCTCCTTTGCTGAAATTTCAAAACCCCACAAGTTCCTGCCTTTTCCTTCCACTATTTATGCAATTCTAATAAAGGCAGGGATCAAAATGGATCCACGTGAGGGTGATGAACTTTCTCCATCCCTGAAACCGCTTGCACTGGCCGGGGTTAAGTCCGTTCCCCGTATTCCCTCTGTTGTTAAAGCCTCTGATGTACCTTCACAGCTCTGGGGTTTCCTTAACCAACAAGTGGCTGTTCTCACTGGTTTGGATACACAACCCTCTTTCGTTTTCAAAGTGCATGTTAAAGGTACAATACTACCATACTGTTTGTCCATACCCATTAGCAACACCTAACACAACATAAAAAAAATCAACCAAAAGACAACACTTGTCAAAACAATTACTACCCATCTGCCTTTACCAAAATAAATTAAAAAAAAAAAAAGGCCTAATAAAGCGATTTTGATGTTCGTCCATATTCTTAATCCTGCATTTAGATTGAAAAAAAGCAAAGTAAAACTTTTACACAGGCAAATGCAAAGAACAAAATGTTTTAAAATCATAATCCAACTAACTTAGAGAACATATATATATGTATATCATATGCACCCCACGAATCAGCACAAAAAAACTCAAACACATATACATACATTCTATAAGATGAATTACCCACCTATTTATTAGTACTCTAAATTATTACTGTCTATACCTCATTTACATTCAACAAATATACCAATATTCATAAACCGATAAAAAATTATACTGATTAAAACAATTATAATCCAATTAAACAACAAATAACAGATAGAACTTCAATCTACAAAAAAAGCATTTTTCCTGTAAAATAACTCTCTCAATTTCGTGACCAGAGACTAATTCTTTACCCAAAAAACAGAAATAAAGCGAACGTATCCAATATAATTCTACACGAAACAAAAAAAAATAATTTTTCCACCCATACTTGCAAAGTTCCTTCGCTATCCTCGCCCTCACCTTCGTTTCTTTGTTCCACAAAAACTGCACCCTCAGAGAAAAAATGCTCACATAAATACAAAACCTCTTACCTCTCACATAAATCCGTCTGTAAGGGTTCAGAAAGCCTGTTTTTAGAAAATCAATTAAAAAAAACTCTCAGCCCATTACAATAACTGAATTTAATATGCCTCTAAAACACAACTACAGACACAACTAAAAACACAAATGTTTCAATTTAAGGTCGAAGTGTTAAATAAAATCCTCTACAAAAATTATCAGCTGGACTCTCCACAACACAACTATAAATACTAACCATTACTACAAAAAAAAAAAATTATCAAATAAAAAAAATAAAAAAACATAAGGGTAGTAAGAGAATATACCTTACGCTGCTTTTTCTTTTCTTCCCTTCTTGTTCCCACGGCTTCCTGACTCTAGTGGCTCTTGGTACGTAACCAAACCTAATATTCTCCTCACCATTCCGATTGTGGTCACAAGCACGTCCTGCTCTGCATTCAATTTAATTGTTATATTAGAATTCCTGAGTCTAGGGACCTCGAACTCGTCGGGCTCGTAAATATGATTACAAGCACATGTGGATAGCAAAGACCAATTCCGTGCCAACGTGAAAATCCCATCCGGTATGTTCCTTGAAGGTTGTTCACTTTGCCTTGCAATCCATTGCATAACCGGTATAAAACGCATTGCTTCCGAGATCAACACAACACTTCGGCATAAACTCAAAACCACGGTCTTCTTGAGAGCCGTATTTTCATCCAATTTATGTAGAGGCACCGCTTAAAACGCGTTCCTCGAACGTTCTATCGCCCAACATTAATTTTTCAGTTAACAAGCTCGAGTATTTGCATCCGATATGATCTGTACTTCGGCCATTATTTAGCATGGTTGTCACTTCCCCGCCCTCCTGCAGCTGCATCCAGCGTACTCTTCCGCTACGATACCATTCTTCCTCTTCTTGAAAGGCTTCTCATATCATTCTTTTCACGGCCATGATGTAGAGGTCTTCGTGCCGTACTGCAAGCCGGGCCTCTTTCCCATTTTGTCCCCTGTCGGTTCCCTGCACCGTTCGGCATACGGATGTTTGGAACATCCGACAGTATCGATAATCTTGCGCGAAGTCATGTGATTATTTTTTTTGGTGGAGAAGTGAATGGGGAAAGAGTAAAAGAAGAAAACCGTGAAGAGAAAGGAACTAGGAAGAAGAGAAAATTTTAGGGTGAAGAGTATAAAAAAAAGCCGCGAAGAGAAAGGAACTGGGAAGTAGAGAAAATTTAAGAACTATGCAAAAAATCAAAAACGGACGATTAAAATTAAGAAATGAATGAAGGACCAAAAATAGGAAAAATCTCAGTCTTGCAGAACATCGGTAAGGTAAAAGATTTTTTGGACCACTGAAATTTAATAGCAAAACTCAAACAAGGCTATAAAAATGATACGATAAATCCAAATGGATAGGAGAATATAAAAATATTAATTGAATGGAATTAATGATTCAAATTTTGGAATATGAAAATACTATATGGAAGAAAATAACTAGTATATAAAGTTCGGTGAAAAATATTTTCGAGTATATAATAAATGTACACAAATGTTCTAGAGGTTTGGTCGATCGAACCAACCGAACTAAATTAACTAACTCCAAAATTTTCAAAAACCGAACCGACCGAAATGAGGAACAAAATCGAATTTGGTATTATTAAGTTAAATAACAAGCTTTACTCTAGTTATTATCAATTTAAATTGTGGACGAATTATAGATTGTTTATAAATTAGCTCTCTAATTTTAAATCATTGCAAAAGTCCTAGTTCAAAAACCCGAAAACATTGACAGCATGGCTGCAGCAAACCAAACCACAAGACAGGAGTGGCTGCAGCATGTGTGCAGGGTATTATCTCACCCTCATATTTTTCTTTGTATGTATATCTAATCATAAAAATTATAGAATGATCCTAAAAGCCAGGTAGTTCCCTTCAAGCAACACAAATAAACATGAAGACCCTTACATAAGCCCCATGCGCACAAAGAATACACAACCCTCTTTTGTTTTCATAGTGCATGTTAAAGGTACAATACTACCATACTGTTTGTCCATATCCATTGGCAACACCTAACACAACATAAAAAGGATCAACCAAAAGACAACACTTGTAAAAATAATTACTACCCTTATGCCTTTA